GGTTCAAAGCCAGCCTGGGTCAAAGTCTGTGAGACTCATCCAACTAACCATCAGTAAGCTGGAAAGGGCGCTGTGGCTCAACTGGTGGAGCCCTAGCCTTGAGCTGAAGGGCTCAGGGACCGTGACCAGGCCTGGAGTTCCAGCTCCAGGACCAGCACACACGCTCACACGCACGCACGCACACACACATGTGCATGCACACACGTGCACACACACACACACACACAGAGATTAGGATTATAGTGTTTTTTTTTCTAAAGCAATGCATGTGATAGATCTGGAAAGGTCTGGAAAGAATCATTTGTTTCCTGTTTTAGAAGGAAACACTCAAATACCCATTGCAATGGCCCAATGTCAACTGTCTGCGCCCAAGAGGAGTATGGAGTGAGCAGAACCAGGGAGGCTGGGGTTGGGGGGCCCGGGGGGGTGGGGGAGGCCGGTGGGGGAGGCCGGGGCCAGTGGGGGAGGCCAGGGCGGGTGGGGGAGGCTGGGGGGAGGTTGGGAGAGGCTGGTGGGGGAGGCCGGGGCCAGTGGGGGAGGCCGGGGCGGGTGGGGGAGGCTGGGGGGAGGTTGGGAGAGGCTGGTGGGGGAGGCCGGGGCCAGTGGGGGAGGCCGGGGTGGGTGGGGGAGGCCGGGACGGGTGGGGGGCCCAGGGCCGGTGGGGGAGGCCAGGGCGGGTGGGGGAGGCCGGTGTGGGAGGCCAGGGCGGGTAGGGGAGGCCGGGGCGGGTGGGGGAGGCTGGGGGGAGGTTGGGAGAGGCTGGTGGGGGAGGCCGGGGCGGGTGGGGGAGGCTGGGGGGAGGTTGGGAGAGGCTGGTGGGGGAGGCCGGGGCGGGTGGGGGAGGCTGGGGGGAGGTTGGGAGAGGCTGGTGGGGGAGGCCGGGGCCAGTGGGGGAGGCCGGGGTGGGTGGGGGGAGGCCAGGACGGGTGGGGGGCCCAGGGCCGGTGGGGGAGGCCAGGGCGGGTGGGGGAGGCCGGGGCGGGTGGGGGAGGCTGGGGGGAGGTTGGGAGAGGCTGGTGGGGGAGGCCGGGGCGGGTGGGGGAGGCTGGGGGGAGGTTGGGAAAGGCTGGTGGGGGAGGCTGGGGCCAGTGGGGGAGGCCGGGGTGGGTGGGGGAGGCCAGGGCGGGTGGGGGAGGCCGGTGGGGGAGGCCGGGGCGGGTGGGGGGCCCGGGGCGGGTGGGGGAGGCTGGGGCGGGTGGGGGAGGCCGGTGGGGGAGGCCGGGGTGGGTGGGGGAGGCCGGGGCCGGTGGGGGGCCCGGGGCCGGTGGGGGAGGCCGGGGCGGGTGGGGGAGGCCGGTGGGGGAGGCCGGAGTGGGTGGGGGAGGCCGGGTGCCCGGGCACAGCCCTCTCCAGCCCTGTTCTGGGGTCCCTGCCCGCCCTCTGGTGGTGGGACGTGGAGAGGCGTTGTTTTTCAGGCCCCAGGAGCCAGGCAGATTCGCCCTCGGTGATGCAGAGGGGCCTGCCCACCCCACTGGAGGGAGGGCCTGGTCCAAGGAGTCCCACAGAAGGAAAGGAGCCCAGGGCCTCGGGAGGGCAGGGGACGGGTGGACGTGGGCCTCAGGGGGCCGGGTCTGCTTCCTGCATTGTGTGATGCCTGCACTGCCCAGCGGTCCAGACCCGTCTCAAGTGAGCTGGGCCAAGAAGTTCCACGTCAGAGCAGGGTCCCGGCCAAACCCGGCCATAAACTTAGACCATGTGAGCTTCCGGTCAGCAGCCTGGAGTCCCGGGGGAAAGGCACACCCCAGTCCCCTCCAGTCCCCGGGGCCAAGGGCGCCCTGGGTGAGGGGCGGCCGAGGCAGTGCCCAGAGGCAGAGCGCACTGGTGCCGGGAGTCCAGGGCAGGCTGGGGTCCCGGGACGGGGCAGGGCTGCACACGGCACGCATGCAGGAGGCTGAGTGGCCTGGAGGCCCCGTTGCCTTGAAGACCGGGCTTCATGGAGCTGGCCTGACCACCTTCACTCATGCAGCTGGGTCCATCTTCAATGAGGGTGCTTCCTTCAGGAGGGCACGAACTTTGACCCAGCCCCAAGCTCTCCCCGGTGGTCCCCGCTCCCGACCTCTCCCCGGGGACCCTGGCTCCCGACCTCTCTCCAGGGGTCAGCCTCCACTCCCGACCTCTCCCCAGGGGCTCTGGCTCCCGACCTCTCCCCTGGGCCAGCCCCCACTCCCGACCTCTCCCCGGGGGCCCCGGCTCCCAACCTCTCCCCAGGGGCCCAGCTTCTGGGCAGAGGGCTTGGGGAGGGTCACCCCAGGCTCCCAGCGAGTGGTCAGCTGGGGTTCTCTGGCACTGGGTGGCCTGGGGCCCCGGGAGGTGCCACGGGTATGGCCCAGACCCCGAGGCAGAGGCCTGGACTCCGGAGTGGCCGTGGCCCCAGCACCGAGGGGCTTCGTCTGCCCAGGAAGAGAAGCTGGTGCCCGTGTGGCCCCGCGGCCCCCGCGGCCCCGCGGGTCTGAGGCTCTGCCTGAGGCGGTGGGGCACGGGGCTGGCCCCCATCCCCCGGACTCCATCTTGGAGTGGTTCAGAAGCCGACACAGCCTGGAACAGGGCTCACAGAACAACTGTATTTCAGAAAACTCAATGTCCACACACAACGGCACCGCACGTCCACCTCCAGTCAGGGCCGGACGCACGCCCGTCGCCGGAGGGCATCTGCAACACAAAAGGCGACTGTGGCTGTGCAGGGCACCAGCGCCTCCCGGGCCGCCCCCTGGGGAACCCGGGGTCCAAGGACACGCCCCACGGGTGTCCTTCAGCTCCTACTGGCTCTCAATTCATTCCAGGGCGAGGGCTGGGCCTGACGGGCGCAAGACCCCAACACAGACCTAACACAGACCCAACACACAGCCAAAACACATCCAACACACACCCAAAACAGACCCAACACACAGCCAACACACACCCAACACAGACCTAACACACAGCCAAAACACATCCAACACACACCCAATACACACCCAAAACAGACCCAACACACAGCCAACACACATCCAACACACATCCAACACAGACCTAACACACAGCCAAAACACATCCATCACACACCCAAAACAGACCCAACACACAGACCTAACACAGACCCAACACACAGCCAAAACACATCCAACACACACCCAAAACAGACCCAACACACATCCAACACACAGCCAACACACACCCAACACAGACCTAACACACAGCCAAAACACATCCAACACACACCCAACACACACCCAAAACAGACTCAACACACAGACCCAACACACATCCAACACACAGCCAACACAGACCTAACACACAGCCAAAACACATCCAACACACACCCAAAACAGACCCAACACACAGACCTAACACAGACCCAACACACAGCCAAAACATATCCAACACACATCCAAAACAGACCTAACACACAGACCCAACACACATCCAACACACACCCAAAACAGGCCCAACACACAGCCAACACACAGCCAACACACAGCCAACACAGACCTAACACACAGCCAAAACACATCCAACACACACCCAAAACAGACCCAACACACAGACCTAACACAGACCCAACACACACCCAACACAGACCTAACACACAGCCAAAACACATCCAACACACACCCAAAACAGACCCAACACACAGACCTAACACAGACCCAACACACACCCAACACAGACCTAACACACAGCCAAAACACATCCAACACACACCCAAAACAGACCCAACACACAGACCTAACACAGACCCAACACACACCCAACACAGACCTAACACACAGCCAAAACACATCCAACACACACCCAAAACAGACCCAACACACAGACCTACCACACACCCAACACACACCCAACACAGACCTAACACACAGCCCAAACACATCCAACACATCCAAAACAGATGCAACACACAGACCTAACACACACCCAAAACACACCCAAAACAGACCAACACGCGCCCAACACGCACCCAACACACAGCCAACACAGACCTAACACACACCCAACATACAGACCTAACACACATCCAACATACATCCAACACACATCCAACACACATCCAACACAGACCTAACATACAGCCAAAACACATCCAACACACACCCAAAACAGACCCAACACACAGACCTAACACAGACCCAACACACAGCCAAAACACATCCAACACATCCAAAACAGACCCAACACACAGACCTAACACACACCCAAAACACACCCAAAACAGACCAACACGCACCCAACACACAGACCCAACACACATCCAACACACATCCAACACAGACCTAACACACACCCAACACACACACCCAAACACACAGCCAACACAGACCTAACATAGACCCAACACACAGCCAACACACACCCAAAACAGACCCAACACACATCCAACACACAGCCAACACACACCCAACACAGACCTAACACAGACCTAATACACAGCCAACACACAGCCAACACAGACCTAACACAGACCCAACACACAGCCAACACACAGCCAACACACACCTGACACAGACCTAACACAGACCTAACACAGACCTAACACACACCCAACACAGACCTAACACAGACCTAACACAGACCCAACACAGACCCAACACACAGCCAACAGAGCCAACATACACCCAACACAGATCTAACACAGACCTAACACAGACCCAACACACAGCCAACACACACCCAACACAGACCTAACACAGACCCAACACACAGACTTAACACAGACCCAACACACAGCCAACACAGACCCAACACACACCCAACACAAACAGCCAACACACACCCAACACAGACCTAACAGACCCAAAACACAGACCTAACACAGACCGAACACACAGCCAACACACACCCAAAACAGACTTAACACACACCCAATACACAGCCAACACACACCCAAAACAGACCTAACACACACCCAAAACACAGACCTAACACACAGCCAACACACACCCAACACACACCCAAAACAGACCTAACACACAGCCAACACACACCCAAAACACACCTAACACACACCCAACACACACCTAACACACACCCAACACACACCTAACACAGACCCAACACACAGCCAACACACACCCAAAACACACCTAACACACACCCAAAACACAGACCTAACACACACCCAAAACACAGACCTAACACACACCCAAAACACACCTAACACATACCCAACACACACCTAACACAGACCCAACACACAGACCTAACACAGACCCAACACACAGACCTAATACAGACCCAAAACACAGACTAACACAGACCCCCAACACAGACCCCAACACAGACCCCAACACGACCCCAACATAGACCAACACAGACCCAACATAGACCAACATAGACCCCAACATAGACCAACACAGACCTAACACAGACCCCGACACAGACCCAACACAGACCCCAACATAGACCCAACACAGACCTAACACAGACCCAACAGAGACCCAACACAGCCCTAACACAGAACCAACACAGACCCAACTCACACCCCAGGCCCGACCTGCATGAGACCCTCAGACCCTGCTCTGGAGGCAGGGTATACATTCACTGGGTGTGCACACACACTGAGCTCACACACACTGAGCTCACACACACTGAGCTCACACACACACAGTGTGCTGCACTGGACAGAGTCTGCCCTCACGTGGGTACGCAGGCCTCTGGAGAAGTCTGAAGACTTCGGCTCCGACTGGCCTGCAGGTGCCTGGGGCCTCTGGTCTAACTGGAGCCTGTACTGCCACCCAGAGCCGAAGATCTAGGGGAGCCTGCTGCCCATGTCCTTCCCCTGCCCATGTCCTTTCCCTGCCCATGTCCTTCCTGATGCCATGTCCTTCCTGATGCCATGTCCTTCCAGATGCCCATGTCCTTCCACTGCCCATGTCCTTCCTGATGCCATGCCCTTCCTGATGCTCATGTCCTTCCTGATGCCATGTCCTTCCTGATGCCATGTCCTTCCCCTGCCCATGTCCTTCCTGATGCCATGTCCTTCCCCTGCCCATGTCCTTCCTGATGCCCATGTCCTTCCACTGCCCATGTCCTTCCTGATGCCATGTCCTTCCCCTGCCCATGTCCTTCCTGATACCATGTCCTTCCTGATGCCATGTCCTTCCCCTGCCCATGTCCTTCCTGATGCCCATGTCCTTCCTGATGCCATGTCCTTCCTGATGCCCATGCCTTCCTGATGCCATGTCCTTCCTGATGCCCATGTCCTTCCTGATACCATGTCCTTCCTGATGCCATGTCCTTCCCCTGCCCATGTCCTTCCTGATGCCCATGTCCTTCCTGATGCCATGTCCTTCCTGATGCCCATGGTCCTTCCTGATGCCCATGTCCTTCCTGATGCCTATGTCCTTCCTGATGCCCATGTCTTTCCCCTGCCCATGTCCTTCCCCTGCTCATGTCCTTCCCCCCCTGCCCGGGTCTCCTCGCCCCTCTTGGGGTGCACTGGGGATGTCCAGGGGCCCTGCCCCCACCGTAAGCAGGTGCTGGCCGCATACCTGCTGGAACTTCCGGGAATGGCAGGTCCTATACCATGAGAGGAGGCCGAGCACGGTGATCCCCAGCATGAGGACAGAGGCCAGCGCCCCTCCCCGGGACCGGGGCCAGGTGGATGCCTCCGGGCGGACTTGGTGCAGAGAGGAGGGTGTCGGTCGGCACCCACCCACCATGCCTGCTCCTCCCTGAGTCTCCACCCCTCCCTCCACCCCTTCCCCCCTTCCCCCCTCCATGCCTGCTCTTCCCTGAGTTTCCACCCCCTCCCTCCACCCTTTCCCTCCTTCCCCCTTCCCCCCACCGCCTCCTCTCCCACCTCCCGCCCCCTCCACCATCCTCCACCATTTCCCTCCCCCATGGCCTCCCAACTTTTCCCCCCTGCAGCCTGAGCACAAGGATGCCCAGAGTAGGGCTGGGAGGAGGGGGCTGGGAGGAGGGGCTGGGAGGAGGGTGGCTGGGAGAAGGGGGCTGGGAGGAGTGGGGCTGGGAGGAGGGGGCTGGGAGGAGGGGGCTGAGAGGAGGGGGCTGGGAGGAGGGACTGGGAGGAGGGGCTGGGAGGCTGGGAGGAGGGGGCTGGGAGGAGGGAGGCTGGGAGGAGGGGGCTGGGAGGAGGGGGCTGGGAGGAGGGGCTGGGAGGAGGGCGGCTGGGAGGAGGGGGCTGGGAGGAGGGGGCTGGGAGGAGGGGGGCTGGGAGGAGGGGGGCTGGGAGGAGGAGTGCTGGGAGGAGGGGGCTGGGAGGAGGGGGGCTGGGAGGAGGGGGGCTGGGAGGAGGGGGCTGGGAGGAGGAGTGCTGGGAGGAGGAGTGCTGGGAGGAGGGGGCTGGGAGGAGGGGGGGCTGGGAGGAGGGGGCTGGGAGGTGGGGGAAAGGGGGAACGGAGGTTCTGAAGAAGAGGTTGGGAGGAGGGGGTTTCAGGGAGGGGGTGGGGGGGGGTCCTGGGTCCTGTCCTTGGGAACAGAGGTCACTCACCCCTGGAGGACATGGCCAGTCCTAGGTCTGCAGCCAGCTGTGGGTCTTGGGGCTCTGCCAGGAAGATGGGGAGGTGGGGTCCCACCCAGCATGGGCATCCAGACCGGCTCCCACTTCCCAGGGGTCAGGAGGCCGTGGAGGGTGGGGTCAGGCAGGGGAGGGGCTGCTCAGAGGGGGCGGGGGCGTCCCCAGCGAGCGCAAGGGGTTTGTCCCCCTCTCCCTCCCCTCCCCCCTCGCCCCCTCTCCCCCGACCCCTCCTCCAGCTCCTACCGCCAGTCCCATCCGTCCGTGACACGTTCAGGTAGACCTGTCTGAGATTCGTCTGGCACCCGCGCAGACGCCAGGAGTACAGCCCGGCGTGGCGGTCCTGCGCGGACTCCACCACCAGCTGGGCCCGGCCCCCCTGGACCAGAAGCTGCCAGCCGTCCCGGGAGACGCGGGAGCGGCCTGCGGAGGGCTCCACGCGGAAGAGGGTCCCGTCGGCCCCGGGGGAGCTCAGGCTGACGGTGATGCAGGTGAAGGGGTTGGAGATGTTGCAGGTCATCTCGGCGCGCTGACCCCTGGACACGGAGACCACGCCCTCGGTGCACGCGGGGTCGTCCCAGCCTGGGGGGACGCGGGCGGCATGGGACCCGGATCCCGGGGCCCGGCAGGGGCCTCGTGCGGACTGCGCAGGAGCGTGAGCACCCCGTGCCTCGGGCGCCGGGGGCGGCGGGCCGAGCCCCAGGGGCTCCCCACGTCCCTCTGGGACTCCGGCCCCAGGCCCCGCTGGCCCGCTGGCCGTCTGCGCGCAGGCGCCGTATGGAAGGGCCTCCGTGTAGCTGCAAACACGAAGTGCGCGGCCGGTGCAGAGCTGTGCGTCCGGGGGGGGGTGGCTGGGAGGCACACGCGTGTGCCAGGTGTGCGGCAGTGTGGGTGGCAGGACAGACAGACAGACAGGCAGACAGACTGACAGCAGGCAGATGGGACTCAGCGAGGACCCTTGTGTCCTCATGTCGGGGACCCTGGGGCTTCAGGGTTCGGGGTGCTCCGGTCAGGGCCCTCCCAGGGGCGGTCGGTGGCCCGGGGCAGCTGAGTGGCCGCGGCCGGCGCTTCACCGGGAGGCGCCTGGGCTGGCCGCGGTACCTGGCCTCGCGCACACCTGGCCTCGCTCACACCTGGCCTCGCTCACACCTGGCCTCGCGCACACCTGGCCTCGCTCACACCTGGCCTCGCTCACACCTGGCCTCGCGCACACCTGGCCTCGCTCACACCTGGCCTCGCGCACACCTGGCCTCGCGCACACCTGGCCTCGCGCACACCTGGCCTCGCTCACACCTGGCCTCGCGCACACCTGGCCTCGCGCACACCTGGCCTCGCTCACACCTGGCCTCGCGCACACCTGGCCTCGCGCACACCTGGCCTCGCTCACACCTGGCCTCGCTCACACCTGGCCTCGCGCACACCTGGCCTCGCGCACACCTGGCCTCGCGCACACCTGGCCTCGCGCACACCTGGCCTCGCTCACACCTGGCCTCGCGCACACCTGGCCTCGCGCACACCTGGCCTCGCTCACACCTGGCCTCGCTCACACCTGGCCTCGCGCACACCTGGCCTCGCTCACACCTGGCCTCGCGCACACCTGGCCTCGCGCACACCTGGCCTCGCTCACACCTGGCCTCGCTCACACCTGGCCTCGCGCACACCTGGCCTCGCTCACACCTGGCCTCGCGCACACCTGGCCTCGCGCACACCTGGCCTCGCTCACACCTGGCCTCGCTCACACCTGGCCTCGCGCACACCTGGCCTCGCTCACACCTGGCCTCGCGCACACCTGGCCTCGCGCACACCTGGCCTCGCGCACACCTGGCCTCGCTCACACCTGGCCTCGCTCACACCTGGCCTCGCGCACACCTGGCCTCGCTCACACCTGGCCTCGCGCACACCTGGCCTCGCGCACACCTGGCCTCGCGCACACCTGGCCTCGCTCACACCTGGCCTCGCTCACACCTGGCCTCGCGCACACCTGGCCTCGCGCACACCTGGCCTTGCTCACACCTGGCCTCGTGCACACCTGGCATCGCGCACACCTGGCCTCGTGCACACCTGGCCTCGTGCACACCTGGCCTCGTGCACACCTGGCCTTGTGCACACCTGGCCTTGCTCACACCTGGCCTTGCGCACACCTGGCCTTGCTCACACCTGGCCTCGTGCACACCTGGCCTCATGCACACCTGGCCTCGCTCACACCTGGCCTCGTGCACACCTGGCCTTGCTCACACCTGGCCTTGCTAACACCTGGCCTCGTGCACACCTGGCCTTGCTCACACCTGGCCTTGCTCACACCTGGCCTTGCTCACACCTGGCCTTGCACACACCTGGCCTTGCCATACACCTTGCCATGCTCAAACCTGGCCTTGCACACACATGGCCTTGCTCACAACTGGCCTTGCTCACACCTGGCCTTACACACACCTGGCCTTGCTCACACCTGGCCATGCTCACACCTGGCCTTGCTCATACCTGGCCTTGCTCACACCTGGTCTTGCACACACCTTGGCCTTGCCGTACACCTGGCCTTGCCACACCTGGCCTTGCTCACACCTGGCCTTATACACATCTGGCCTTGCTCACACCGGGACTTGCACACCTGGCCTTGCTCACACCTGGCCTTGCTCACACCTGGCCTTGCCGCACACCTATCCTTGCACACACCAGGCCTTGCACAGGCTGCTTCTGTCAGCGCTGTGGGGCCTCCCTCTGGGGATAAGCCTCGGCTTTGTGTGGACCCCGCCTGCTGCTGCTGTGACAGGGACCCAGGGGCTGCTGGGGTCCTGGCAGCCACCTTGCAGCTCAGCCTCAGGAGAGTGTGCAGTTTGCATCATTAATACCCTCCCACCTCAGCCCCCGGGAACTCAGGGTGGTGTGTGCAGGGAGGGCTGCGGATCTACACTCGCTCTGTGCACTCAGGTTGGTGTGTGCAGCGTGTGCAGTGGATCTACACTCGCTCTGTGCACTCAGGTTGGTGTGTGCAGTGGATCTACACTCGCTCTGTGCACTCAGGTTGGTGTGTGCAGTGGATCTACACTCGCTCTGTGCACTCAGGTTGGTGTGTGCAGCGTGGGCAGTGGATCTACACTCGCTCTGTGCACTCAGGTTGGTGTGTGCAGTGGATCTACACTCGCTCTGTGCACTCAGGTTGGTGTGTGCAGTGGATCTACACTCGCTCTGTGCACTCAGGTTGGTGTGTGCAGTGGATCTACACTCGCTCTGTGCACTGAGGTTGGTGTGTGCAGCGTGGGCAGTGGATCTACACTCGCTCTGTGCACTGAGGTTGGTGTGTGCAGTGGATCTACACTCGCTCTGTGCACTCAGGTTGGTGTGTGCAGCGTGGGCAGTGGATCTACACTCGCTCTGTGCACTCAGGTTGGTGTGTGCAGTGGATCTACACTCACTCTGTGCACTCAGGTTGGTGTGTGCAGTGTGTGCAGTGGATCTACACTCGCTCTGTGCACTCAGGTTGGTGTGTGCAGCGTGGGCTGTGGATCTACACTCGCTCTGTGCACTCAGGTTGGTGTGTGCAGCGTGGGCAGTGGATCTACACTCGCTCTGTGCACTCAGGTTGGTGTGTGCAGTGGATCTACACTCGCTCTGTGCACTCAGGTTGGTGTGTGCAGTGGATCTACACTCGCTCTGTGCACTGAGGTTGGTGTGTGCAGCGTGGGCAGTGGATCTACACTCGCTCTGTGCACTCAGGTTGGTGTGTGCAGCATGGGCAGTGGATCTACACTCGCTCTGTGCACTCAGGTTGGTGTGTGCACCGTGGGCAGTGGATCTACACTCGCTCTGTGCACTCAGGTTGGTGTGTGCAGTGGATCTATACTCACTCTGTGCACTCAGGTTGGTGTGTGCAGTGTGTGCAGTGGATCTACACTCGCTCTGTGCACTCAGGTTGGTGTGTGCAGTGGATCTACACTCGCTCTGTGCACTGAGGTTGGTGTGTGCAGCGTGGGCAGTGGATCAACACTCGCTCTGTGCACTCAGGTTGGTGTGTGCAGTGGATCTACACTCGCTCTGTGCACTCAGGTTGGTGTGTGCAGCGTGGGCAGTGGATCTACACTCGCTCTGTGCACTCAGGTTGGTGTGTGCAGCGTGGGCAGTGGATCTACACTCGCTCTGTGCACTCAGGTTGGTGTGTGCAGTGGATCTACACTCTGTGCACTCAGGTTGGTGTGTGCAGTGTGTGCAGTGGATCTACACTCGCTCTGTGCACTCAGGTTGGTGTGTGCAGCGTGGGCAGTGGATCTACACTCGCTCTGTGCACTCAGGTTGGTGTGTGCAGTGGATCTACACTCGCTCTGTGCACTCAGGTTGGTGTGTGCAGTGGATCTACACTCGCTCTGTGCACTCAGGTTGGTGTGTGCAGTGGATCTACACTCGCTCTGTGCACTCAGGTTGGTGTGTGCAGCGTGGGCAGTGGATCTACACTCACTCTGTGCACTCAGGTTGGTGTGGGAAGCGTGGGCTGTGGACCTACGTTCGTTCTGTGTACTCAGGGCGGCGTCCAGGAGCAGGAGGACCCCCAGCACCCTGGCTATGCGGCTGGGTGTGGCCCGGTGTCGGGTGGGCATCTTGGGCTGGAGGGACTGGCTTAGGGGTCCCGAGCTCCAGACAGCGGTTCTTGGAAGCGCCCTGGTGGGAAGAAAGCCACTAGGTCAAAGGCTACGGTGAGGCAGCGTCCGGTGTCAGGCAGGGATGGGCAGCTAAGGGCCCCACTCCACCCAGACCCCGCTCCGCCTGGACCCCGCCCCGCCTGGACCCTCTCTGCCTGGACCCTCTCTGCCTGGATCCCTCTCTGCCTGGACCCCTCTCTGCCTGGACCCTCTCTGCCTGGACCCTCTCTGCCTGGACCCCTCTCTGCCTGGACCCCTCTCTGCCTGGACCCCTCTCTGCCTGGACCCCGCTCCGCCTGGACCCCACTCCGCCTGGACCCTCTCTGCCTGGACCCTCTCTGCCTGGACCCTCTCTGCCTGGACCCTCTCTGCCTGGACCCCGCTCTGCCTGGACCCCTCTCTGCCTGGATCCCTCTCTGCCCCTCCGTCCGCTGCTGCCCATGCCCCAGCGCCCCTCTGGCGCCCAGGCCTTGCTCTCTGTCCCCAGATGGGTGACAGGCCGGGGAGGCTCTGCTTGCAACCTTGCAGCTACCTCAAAGGTGAGGCCCGGCTCACATGGCCGCACGCCTACGGGGCACACGCAGGGCAGCGAGGCCCGGCTCACATGGCTGCACGCCTACGGAGCACACGCAGGGCAGCGAGGCCCAGGCTCACATCCATACCCATGGGGTGCACGCAGGGCAGCGAGGCCCGGCTCACATGGCCGCACCCACGGGGCACACGCAGGGCAGCGAGGCCCAGGCTCACATGGCCGCACCCATGGGGCACACGCAGGGCAGCGAGGCCCAGCTCACATGGCCGCACCCACGGGGCACACGCAGGGCAGCGAGGCCCCGGCTCACATGGCCGCACCCACGGGGCACACGCAGGGCAGCGAGGCCCCGGCTCACATGGCCGCACCCACGGGGCACACGCAGGGCAGCGAGGCCCAGGCTCACATGGCCGCACCCACGGGGCACACGCAGGGCAGCGAGGGCCCGGCTCACATGGCCGCACCCACGGGGCACACGCAGGGCAGCGAGGGCCCGGCTCACATGGCCGCACCCACGGGGCACACGCAGGGCAGCGAGGGCCCGGCTCACATGGCCGCACCCACGGGGCACACGCAGGGCAGCGAGGCCCCGGCTCACATGGCCACACGCCCACGGGGCACACGCAGGGGATGGTGACCCTCTCAGGCCTCGCGGGAAGAGTGGTCAGAATTGAGAGCCCCTCTTCCCGCTCACGGTCCTGACCAGCACGGCTGCATCGCGCCCCAGCCCTGCCCGGGACCCTTGCAGGGCAGGAGAGGTGCCCCACACCTCTGCACCCAGCTGGCCAGGGCGGCACCGGGCTGCTGGCTGCTCCCCGCCTTCCCTCAGCCCTCCCGTCTGCCTCCATCACACCTTGTACAGACTCAGCACACACGTGCACACATGTCCCCCACAGGCACAGCAACCCAATATGCATGGGTGTGCACACACCTACAGAGTACATCCCAATGTGCACACATGAACACACCTATACACAGTATACCACACTGTGCACATGTGTACACCCCACACCCATGCATAGTGCACCAATGTGCACACATGTACACCCACACCCCTGCATAGTGCACCCCAATGTGCACACGTACACCCACACCCCTGCATAGTGCACCAATGTGCACACGTGTACACCCACACCCCTGCATAGTGCACCCCGATGTGCACACGTACACCCACACCCCTGCATAGTGCACCCCGATGTGCACACGTGTACACCCACACCCCTGCATAGTGCACCAATGTGCACACGTGTACACCCACACCCCTGCATAGTGCACCCCGATGTGCACACATACACCCACACCCCTACATAGTGCACCCCGATGTGCACACGTACACCCACACGCCTGCATAGTGCACCCCGATGTGCGCACGTACACCCACACCCCTGCATAGTGCACCCCGATGTGCACACGTACACTCACACCCCTGCATAGTGCACCCCGATGTGCACACGTGTACACCCACACGCCTGCATAGTGCACCACGATGTGCTCACGTGTACACCCACACCCCTGCATAGTGCACCCCGATGTGCACACGTACACCCACATCCCTGCATAGTGCACCCCGATGTGCACACGTGTACACCCACACCCCTGCATAGTGCACCAATGTGCACACGTGTACACCTACACCCCTGCATAGTGCACCCCGATGTGCACACATACACCCACACCCCTACATAGTGCACCCCGATGTGCACACGTACACCCACACCCCTACATAGTGCACCCCGATGTGCACACCTGTACACCCACACCCCTGCATAGTGCACCCCGATGTGCACACGTACACTCACACCCCTGCATAGTGCACCCCGATGTGCACATGTACACCCACACCCCTGCTTAGTGCACCGCGATGTGCACACTCACGTGTGCACCCGTGTGGAGCCTGGGCTGGACCAGGACACAGAGGTGAGCCTCCAACAGGCATGCCCTCCCGTGTGTCTGCGTGGCCTTGTATGTCGAGCCCACGGGCCTGGATTTGCAGAGCCGTGGTGCCCCAGTCCTCCGAGCTGGCCAGCTGGCATGCAGCCCGGCTGGCCCAGGACGCCAGGCTGAGCTGCCTCCTGCGAGGACCTGGCCTGGCAGGTCAAAGGTTAATCTTGGTCCTTGCCTGGTGCAGAAATGGCAGCTTCAGCACAGAGGGGTTTATGTCACACTGGCTGACACACCAGACCCAGGGTGGGCTGGGACATGGTCTGCCCTGCGGGGGGGCAGGTCTGGGGGGTGGGGGACACAGGTCTGCCCTGCGGGGGGGCAGGTCTGGGGGGTGGGGGACACGGGTCTGCCCTGTGGAGGGCAGGTCTGGGGGGTGGGGGACACGGGTCTGCCCTGTGGAGGGCAGGTCTGGGGGGTGGGGGACACGGGTCTGCCCTGTGGGGGGCAGGTCTGGGGGGTGGGGTTCACAGGTCTGCCCTGCGGGGGGGCAGGTCTGGGGGGTGGGGGACACGGGTCTGCCCTGCGAGGGGCAGGTCTGGGGGGTGGGGTTCACAGGTCTGCCCTGTGGAGGGGCAGGTCTGGGGGGTGGGGGACACGGGTCTGCCCTGTGGGGGGCAGGTCTGGGGGGTGGGGGACACGGGTCTGCCCTGTGGAGGGCAGGTCTGGGGGGTGGGGGACACGGGACTGCCCTGTGGAGGGCAGGTCTGGGGGGTGGGGTTCACAGGTCTGCCCTGCGGGGGGGCAGGTCTGGGGGGTGGGGGACACGGGTCTGCCCTGCGAGGGGCAGGTCTGGGGGGTGGGGGACATGGGTCTGCCTGGGCTCGGGCCCTGTGCCTTCCAGTCTGGGTGTATTTCCTGGAGCACAGTACGTGTGTCCATGCTCCACTGCAGGAGGCGTCTGGCCCTGAGGCCCCGCATCCCAGGCGCGGCCTGCCCAGCCCCTCCCCACCTCAGTGCCCTTCCCCGAATCTAGATGCCTGCCACTGTCCTGTCCCTGCAGCCGTCCTGTCCCTGCAGCCGAGGCCCGCGCTTCCTCCCTTCTGCTTTTCCCAGAAGGCATCTGGGAGGAGCCCTGCCCAGGGCAGGATTCCCCAGGGCGGTCCCGTCCCCAGGGCGGTCCTGTCATGGGGAGCTGGCCGGCTGAGCGGGGTGTCCAGCCGCCAGGCACTCTGCCCCTCAGGCTGCGCATCACGGCCAGGGCCTCGAGAGTGCCCAGTCTCTGCCCTCCCTGGGCCGGCCCTACCCGGCCATTAGGTGGGCCCGGCTTTGGAGCAATAGCGTTCAAGATCTGCCAACCCAAGCGCTTCATTTTGAATATGAGCGTGACATCACGAAAAGTGCACCTTGTGTGTACACACCAACCACCAGGACACCCCGGTCACAGGAATCCACACGTGCTATCAAATCCGAACCCAGACCCAGGGACTCAGACACCTGCCAACTGCCACACGCCCTGCACCGAACATCTGCCCGCTAGCTCTAGACTGACCTCTCTCCCTGGGACCCCAGAACAAGGTATGTTCTGACTCAGACGCAGACAGTGCACTGCGGTAAGAGCAGCCTCCTCCCCCCCCTGCACTCACACCAGGACTGCAAACCCTCCCCCCCTGCACTCACACCAGGATTGCAAACCCTCCTCCCCCCTGCACTCACACCAGGACTGCAAACCCTCCTCCCCCCTGCACTCACACCAGGACTGCAAACCCTCCCCCCTCCCCCACACTCACACCAGGACTGCAAACCCTCCTCCCCCCCTGCACTCACACCAGGATTGCAAACCGTCCTCCCCCACAGTCACACCAGGACTGCAAACCCTCCTCCCTCCCCCACACTCACACCAGGACTGCAAACCCTCCCCCCCTGCACTCACACCAGGACTGCAAACCCTCCTCCCTCACCTGCACTCACACCAGGACTGCAAACCCTCCTCCCCCCCTGCACTCACACCAGGACAGCAAACCCCCCTCCCTCCCCCACAGTCACACCAGGACTGCAAACCCTCCTCCCTCCCCCACACTCACACCAGGACTGCAAACCCTCCCCTGCCACGCCGACCCCAGTAGAGTCTGCTTAGCATGGGAGACCATCTATCAGACCATGATAGGGGCTTCGAAACCTATCTCCAAGTTTTGGGACTTCACTGAAGTCTACCTCGGAGAATAGGGCTTCTAAGAGGCCTACTCCTGGGAAAAGGCTGGAAAAACCCCTGGGAAAAGATGTGTTTCTGCCTTTCTTCACTGCATAAGAGTGCCTATTAATCTTTTATTGCTTCTACTGCTCTTTGTACTTGCTCATTGTCAACGTTCCCTTATTCAAAGCTCTTTCTTAAGAGTGTTGGCGACTCCAATATCTGATGAGTGTCTTAAAAATATGACTAACTCACCAGAGTTAAATGCTAACCTAAAACCCCTCTTATGGAGGCTAGTAGACAAGTCATAAGTAAATATTGGGGGTTTCATGATGTCATTTCAGCAGAAGGAATTGTTTGTAAGAGATTTACAAGAAGCTGTAGGCGCGGCTAGAACAGAAGGAATGTATGGCAA